GTGGAGGCACATGTACACCTTCATCAATCAATCAATACTTCCAGCGAGGCTCCAAAGTTGCGGAAACTTCGCCTGTTCCCACACCAAAGTACAAAATTGCGGGAATTCCGTAAGGTTCCCATACCAGAGACCAAATGCCCGCCCACCGAAGCCGGTATATAAGCCGCCCATTTTTTTGGGTATAAAAGGCCCAGTTTGTGGCAGTCCGGCACCCCTTTTTTATCATTTCCAGTTCTTGACAGCTCTCGGGCTCGGAGCTCTCGGCTCTGCTCCCGGCGGCTCTCTCGAGCAGTCTCCGCTCTCCAACAATCCAATAGCAAGAACGACAAAGGTCGTTTCCAATGGACAATAAACAAGAGCGGTACGGTACAACAATTCGAAGGAAATAAGCTGAACACTCCAACTTGCCGCCTGTCGGACCCACCACCAATTCCAAAACGAGACAAACAAGGTTGCACAATCTTCAGACTAGTTGACTTTGTAATGGTACGAACTGTGTTTACGACTTTGACCCAATAAATATTGAGATAAATATCCTATCGAGCATTCTACCACCGAGCCGTCGAAACAGATGGTGGGTAGGCAGGTAGAGGTGGCTGTCGAAGAGATCCGAGAAGAAGTCGTAGATAGTGGATGACCTTCTCCATTGCCCTTTGAGATGCAGTAACTGTTCCGTCATAACGACGAAGGGGGTCATCTTGGTCTTGTAAGTGGCGAAGCTCAGTCAAGCTTTGCGAATGCTCTTTCCGCCCTCGGCGGCTTCGTTTATGACTGCTGCTCTTCTCTCTTTCAGAACTTCCTTTATCGCTTCTTTGCATAGCTTCGCAAGTTTGGACGTTTGTTGACGTCTGCTTGCAGCTCAAGTGATTCCACGCTGTCGTATCAGCTCGAGAGTTTTCAAAGTAATTCGTCTCTTGGCCACTTGTAGACTATCTGCTTTCCTTGCACTATCGTGAAGATGTTTGACGAGCCGGTTGTGTTCTTCATCAATGTCGACGATAACGATAACGGAATCTTCCCATTCAGCGGCCCCAGTTGATAAAGGTCTTGAGGCTGTTCCCTAAAACATAAGGTCTTTGTCTACCGTGACAACCGTATTTTTCAGATTATGTTGTCTTACGCGAGCTCAAACGGTCGCATAGAAGAAGTCGACTTCAGCAAACTTTCAGCTTCTGTGCTACCGTTTCGTCTCGTTCACCGTCGTCCACTTCGCAGCGACCAACAACATCTACTGGACAATATCGAGGACAATATTCTCGCGTAAGGGCATTTGACCAGCTGATCCATATTACTGAAGTTCGTCAGAAATAAATATCTGAACGACCGACTTTGCCCAAACAAAGCAATATAAGGAACTAGCGCTGACCAAATGAGAAAACATTCATTCAATGTCTAATAACTTACATTCAATAGCTTCCTTTCGATGTTTTCATTTTACTTGCTTGTTGATCTCAATATAAATGTCGAAGTTTGAAGTAGGCCCAAAACTTGTGAGACCAAGGAAACGTGTGTGAAGATGAGCA